AAACTGGGACACCTAGCTTGGTGACACAGCTGCCACAAGGTCAGGTTTATTCCTAGCTCTCTTGTCACAGCACAGGACTCAGTGTCAGAGCCCCTGGAAAAGTGTGGAGGGCAGGGCTTGGGGAGCTTGTGCCAGTGCAGGACTTGAACTAAAGGCACCAGGAAGCACCAACCCTGCCGACAAGAACTCATCTCTTCTGATCTCCCGTCCTGTCAGGGACAGGCTCAAAGCAGCCATGGGCCAATGGGGCTCAAACCAATGTGGGCTCTCTCCTTACCAGGCTCCTCAGGCTCTGGGGAACTGTCACTGCAGTTCTCGGTGCCAGATGAAGCTTCCTCTGCTGCAGCCTCGTTGACAAGTTCCCCTCCTGAGGACTCAGAGGCAACATGAATATTCCCCTTGAAAGAAAAGCAGAAAGAAAGAAACCCAAAGATCACTCAATATTTTCTTGGAATCACATCAGGGCTACAATAACCCTTCTCCACTCCCAAAGGACATGGAGCAGAGGCTGGGGGGGAACACTCCGCACACGGTTCACATGATAAATCTTTTCAGTTCAGGATTCCGTGGCCAATGCTAAACAGAAGCTTTTACAAAATGACCTCTGAGGCAAAACGTGAACGCAGAAAACCAGAAGACACCAAATGAGGTGACGTGCCCTCATTCTCTGATCCTGGCTTACCCCACGAGCTGTAAGAAATCAGCCAGCAGAAAGCCAGGGGCTCTCCTTGTTGCCAACACAGCTGTCAGTAAGGGCAGAGCTCGTTCCCAGCACTGCCCAGGGCTGTGTGCTGCAAAGCCACACACAAAGCACACATTTCTGGCTGGGAGTATCACCACCCCACCCAAGCGCTCAGACAATCCATCACAAGGTGGTGCTTCTGAGCCACTGAACAGCGTTAAAAAGCTCTCGGTCCAGCCCCTTTTATTCCCATCCAGTGGGGTTACCTGAGCAGAGGGAGACTTCTCGGACAGGGATCTCCTGATCTCCCGAATCATTTTCTCCACAGCTAGG